ACAACTATAGTGATCCTTTGTGAACTGAAAAGGAGAAATGAATCCTCAAGCCAAAAAAGACGCAAGCTAGGGACTGTGATGTTCATTTCAGAAATCTGTTATCATGGTAAAGGGAATTAGAAAGATAGTCCTGAAAATAACTGCAAGGGGATCAACTGCCTTAGTGCAAAACTAGTCTTATTGTCCATAGTTTAAGAGAAGCTAGAAAAAATCAGCTACTTTAAAAACCAGAGCATGCTCTCCCGCATTCGTTCACAGCTTGGATTTCTCATTTCTCTGCAATGAATCTTAATCACTGGGTTCTACTGTCCCAGTTTTTTTCAAGTTCATTTCTTTCAATGTGAAATACATTTTTACACATTTACAGTTATGCTCCTAATATTTAGATTAGGATTTATATTTGATGATAAATTAGTTTTGGAGGTGACAAGAGAAAGAAGTTTGACTGATTAATATAGAAATATTACTTTATGGAAACTGCTGCTTATTCATTACAAACACAAGCTTATTTACTAAAGCCTTCAAGAATGTATATTTTTCCCTTAAAAAAACAAGCAAAGTATGTTTTTAGATCAGTGATTTAAAAGTACTGGGTTGCTATTTTTCTCATCAATGTATCCTATTTGGAAAGTAAAACGTAAATTTTCTCCATTGAAGAAATTTGCTAATGCGTTTAAAGCAAATCTAGAAGAACCTAACAATTCTCTTTAGGTTTGCCACACACTTAGCAACCCGCTGAAATTAAAACACCAGAGAGAGTCTTATTGAATTATAATTCAACACAATAAGCCAGCACAAAAAATTTATATAAATATAAGCATCAACACAGAAGCCATCTGAAAAGTAATGTTTATATTTTCCAATTTATTTTGTTTTGCATGTACTATGTAATTACAGAATTTTTATATTTATAAGACTATTCACTGTTTTAAAACATGATACCATACCACTATAGATCCATATATAAGATAGGATACGATACTAAAACTTTTATATTTATGTAGTCAAAACTTTGTGCTTGTATCTGTTCCTCTCCTGGGCAGAAAATGTGTGTATTTTTTGTGGCGAGAGTACATGTTTTATAACTAATGACATTGCCATGCTTAATGTCACGTAAGACATAGAATTGATAATGAAAGAAAGATTACTTGAATTCTTTTCTTCATACAAGAATACAATGTCCATATATAGCAATCGCGTGCACAAAAGAGAAAGTGACCATCTTTGAAGATGTTCTCTGCCGAGGAATGGGTAAGGTATCTCCTGGGTAAGAAAAAAACACAGCGCCTCTAAACACACGTATCTTTCGTCATAGAGAATTTAATAATGAGCACAGGAGCTGCCCATGCTTTCTGAAAGGACTCATCAATCTTACCATTATCTGTACATTTACTGTTCAAGGTTATCGCAAATCACATGGGTACCTTGAACTTGGAAAGAGAGCGAGCTACCTACACAGGCCCCAGCCACTCCATCTAATCCCAGGTAGTACAATACACAACAATGGTTTGTATTTTTTTTTTTAAAACCTAATGACTGTGGACTTAAATACAGAATGCTAGAGCTCTACAAACATGAGATAATTGTGTGATAGTCTAAAAATATGAACTCAGTGGAAGGAATACATGCTCTGGCACAGACTCACCTCAAGCAAACTGAAATAAATCTTGTATCTTCTATGCTTAGCTAGAAGGAAATTTTTAAAGCTCAGTATTAAAATTTAATTGGTAACTCTGACCTTGAGTGCCACTTTAGGTGAAAAATATTACACCAGTTCTCAGATTTTCTTGAGATTTATGATCTCATGTTCTTGAAAAAGGCCTAGCACCTCCGTGTTCCTGAAATAATTGATCTGTCTGTTACAAGTGTTGTTTTCCTGATACCAACATCTGTCTCAGGAAGAAATGTACAAACTGATGAAAATACCCTGCTATATTTAAGTAACTGTAAAGCTACCAAATTTGCATCTAACACATTACTATTTTTATAAAAGCAGTCAAGATTGTAAGCTGATAAATTTAATAGCACATAATAGAAGACAAGAAAAAATAAAGTGCAAAGTCACTTGCAAATATTTTTATAAAAAGTAACTACAAGTATTAATAGAATTAATGTTTAAAATACGACAACAAGCCACAAAGCAAACCCATGGGTCACATCTTTCTTGGGTTAGAAGAGAACTCCACAATATACACTTTCAAACTTGGGAGTTTTTCTTTGTTTCTTCATTCTACTCACAAACACTAGTAACTTTACCAACAAAACTCTCACCCATCATTGTTGATGTATCTGCTGGTAAAGGTAAGCAAAGGACCATGAAAGCCAGCAGGTAATGTGGAAAAACAGCAAATCTGAGAATGTCTATGATTACCTAACACCTTACTTCAGTGGAAATTCAATATAAAATTCAAGTTCCTTTTGCAAGGAAACAACTGGCATGTATGATAGATTCTCCACATGACAAAAGGTTCAACAGTAAATAATATTCTTTAATATAAATTAATTAGTGTAATAATTGCTACCAATTAGCATTTACTATATACTGGGCACTTTCAAAAGTACTTCCCGTGTATTAAATCTTGTAATGCTGTACCAACTTTCTAACATGGATGTACCAGTCTCCTTTTACAGAAAAGGACACTGCAAAACAGAGAAAGAAAAAAACTGATGGATGTCTTTCAAACAAGTAAACAGCTAAGTCCAGTTCCCTGCCATGACAAAGTCTCAGAGCCATACTTTCCACCACTATATGATGGGGTGGTACATTAATAATAGGGCTGAAAAAGCAAAAGGGCCATGACCGTCAGAAAAAGCATAGAGTCATTCATTAATTCACGTGACAAATGTCTGCTCAGCACCTACAACCCCACAGAACTATGCATTTATATTTAGTTCTTTCCCAACACAAAAGGGCCTATGGAAAAGCTGTACAATTTGCATTTATACAGAGCTCTGAAATTCAAGCCTGACGGAGCAGTTACACCTGGCTTCACCTTTTTTTTGCCTACAAGCCGCCCTAGTGAGACCCTGGAAAGCAGTCAGTGTACTAGCACACTCAGTGATGTCAATTACTTTAGCTAAAAAGAGGGAAAATAACCCAAATTCAAAGGAACTTCGGGAAGCAGTTCGTCCACGCAGTCTCAGTGGTACCAATCCTGTGTTTAAACATCTTGAATAAAACACCTGTCTACACCTGTGCAAACCTGCTCATCGAGGGCCGCAGCAGCAGCAGGACATGCTCATTAGGCGGGGGTTAACTCTGAAAAGAAGCTTCACAGTTTACCAGCAGAAAAAGGCAGAGATGCACAAATCAACCAAGCCTTTTCCGTAGGATTCAAGGGTAACTCAAAGAGGGCTAAAGGGAAAAATGGTTGTTATCTCATCAACAGCTTCAATAGCCAGAGCATCGTCTAATTTTTAAATATGGAAAAATGCGAAATACCATCATGTAAATTAATTACACCTAATGAGAAACCCTTTTATATATGTTTTGTGAACATAGCATACAGCAGCACTTCTTTTGCCTTTGTGAGGTAATGTGTCAGGAAGTTCTAAAATCTTCGAACAAACAGAAATAGCTGAAGAGTTATACCTATACAAAGCATCACCTTTAGGAGAAAGACGTATGAATTTATTTTATTAATGGTCTATTTGGCCATATTTATAATCTGTGAATTGACTATATTTTCCTTTAAATAATATGAGACTCTAAAAATGGTTGCTATAAATTGCTAAGAGTTAAATGTGCTCCTACCGATTTACCATAAATATAGAAATGCATTTCCATGGAGGGGACTGGTCTAAATAAAAATGCCCATAGAAGAAAGAAATGATCCATTTAAAATAACATTTATGAAGATTAGCCTATTTTGTGAAGTAGAATATAACTTACACAAAATAAAAAATACGTTCATAGTCATACACTCCTATTAAGTAGAATATTAAGTCACTTCTAAATATTATTTTAGAATCCTCTGCAAAGGGTTTTGTATTGAGAAAGTAAGAACTATTAAAAAACAAACCAGAATCTTATTTTTTTAATGACCTCAATTTTTTTGTTCTATAGTTAGAAGATTTAAACTGATCTCAGGATACAAGTGAAGCAATTTCTAGCCAGAGGCAACAAAGCTCCTATAAATCTCAGACAGCTCATAAACTGGCAGGGCTACCATGGGTGTGGTTTCAGTTGAAAGCTATAAGGCTTTGAAAACTAAACTTTACAACTAGGTGAACACTGCTTATGATGACAGAACAAAACAAAACACATAATCCAGATTATTTCTCAGCAAGGCTATTCTATATTTCATGATCCACTTGAGTTACTGTCAAGTTCATATATTTGAAATCCCTTGAGAATGCCTCTTACCTCTAATAGTAGAATCCTGTACAAAGCAAAATATTTGGTAATTAAACTGTGGAAAGCACTGCTTAGTGAGTGAAAAAATGTAATTATACTAACATAATGACAGGGTAAACCTCACAAAGTTAAACAGAACATAACTGAATATTTTCTGTAGATAATTCATTGGTCTCCAGAAAGGACACGTGTTTGCAAAGTCCTTTACATCATGCTTCTGTTATAAAACTGTCTACAGGACTAAGAAACTTTCCCACAAGGGGAGGCCACCAGTTGTATGCTGTCCCCTAATCCCTTAGAAACTGTTGATTTTTTAAAGTACTAGTCTGCTGGGTAGTTTTCTTATCAGATCCAAGACGGAGTAGAGGGAGATTTCTGGAAATGTTAGCATTAACCAGGCACCCTGAGGCTGCTCAGTAAGTGAATAACCAGCTCAACTGTTGATTGCAGAGAACGTGGTACTGGGGGTTACTCATCATGTGAATGATTTACAGTTCAGACCTTCACCTCCCGGCCGCACGGCATTTGTACCAGACTATGGAGAACAAAGGCCAACAACATGCCTGACTCTCTACAGCAGTTCCCATAAACTTTCATAATCACTTAACTGCAGTCATTCTAGAATGTATACTTCGAAACACACCTGGATCCACCTGTCTGGGAGTTCTTCGGAGTCCATTGGCTCGTTTCTGTGCAGAAAGGCAAAACAAACATGTTTTGGTTATTTAGCATTATGAAATTACATTAACTCTTTTACTGTGGAAGGACAAGGAATGCTGATTTTTTTCCAATTAAAAGCATGACAGTTTGAACAAAATATGGTTTTAAAGTTTGCTTTTGTAACATTTTAAAACAGGTCTTCCACTTGAACATCATTATATTTGATGAACTGCTAATATATTTGATGAACTTCTAATATAACACTAAGAAAAAGAAGTATTTCTGTTTCCTAACTCCAGATATTGAATCCCAGGTTTTCTGGCAGGGGGTTGTTTGCTTATTTGTTTTTCCTTTTTTAAAAATTTTATGTTAAAGGGAAAAGAACAAAAACAAAATAGCAAAAACAAAGACAAAAGCAAAACAACACAAAAGCAATAAAAGCAATGGAGTTTGAAAAAGACAGAAAATTAACAATGGTTGTTGTATTACGTAGTGTTACCCTCAGAGTAGTTGCCTGTTTGTTTTTCAAGTCATTGTCAGTACAAGAAAGAGGAGAGCAAAGCGCGGGCAGCCCTCTTGGTGGGAAAATATCTCCAGCAAAAACATTAGCAGTAGCCTTAAACTGACCTAATAAACCTCTAATTCAGCCATAGCTGGAGCCTGACAACCAGAGACCAATGAAGGCAAATAAATGCAAAACGAAGATCTGAAGCTCTGATTTTAGCCAACACTTAAGTAAAAATGGTGTTTTAATTACACCCTGTTAAAACAAACAAACAAACAAACCACAAAAACAACCCCCCCCCAAAAAAAAAACCCAAACTGACATGCAAGGTGGGGCTAGGAGGGCAAGAAAGCAAACTGTTATAGAAAATGATTCCCTAAGACAGTGTACGTTATAAAACTTACAGAAAATGCATGCTCACACATCTGACTTCATAAGCCATTAACTCATTGCCACCTAAGAACTGTAGTAATCTCACTAACAAGGACCTGATTTTTTACCTTTTATTATACAACTGGATAAGAAATTGAGTCTATGACCACCATATAATTCAGGTTTTCACAAAGGCAATTTTTCTTTGTAGGTGTGTCGGCTTTGTGCTGTGTGTAAAGACCTGGTTTCCTTCAGAGCACACTAGGTTTGCTAAGCACACATTAGCCACGAATTTTCGCAGGGTTCCTTCTCATGTTTTCATTCACAACTTCAATGTCTGAAATGGAGTCTTTACTTTTCCTGGGGGTCTCAAAGCCACATCCAGCAAATTCTTGGGTTCTCAGGTGAAAGAAAACTGGCAAAACTTTAAAAATATAATTTTTACCTTTACCACAAACACTTTCAAAATGGATATGTAAAAGACTAGCAGGATCATTAAAATCAGCATGTGAAGCTCTGTCGAGCAAGATGGATTGTTGTACTGGAAAAGGTACAATACAGAGAGTGGCTACAAGAGGCAAAAGCTACGCTGGGCCTCTCGGCCGCCAGGCCGCCAAAAGAAGAACCATGATACAATTTGCATTGGATAACATGAAAGAAAACTTTCAAAGAAAAAAAAAACTACCTGAAATTTTATACAAATGTTTGAAGCTCTCTACATAAGGATGTTGAACTACACTACTGACAGTATTTTCAGCAGGAAAATATATAATGATGGCTATTTTGACACTCTTCAGGGTCTGCATATCCCACAATCTTCTTAAAATACCACAGAAAGTGTCTTTACACAGATCTTACTGTATCTCCTATTTTCAAAAGTTTGGGGATCCAGGAAGAAAATTCAACCTTTTGTTTGATCTGCATCCTAGGATCCCCAAACCAGCATTACAGCACTTGGAAACTACAAACTCAACATGGGAAAAAGCGAACATAAGTTCAAGAGCAACTCTCTTAGTACCTTAAGATTAAAATTGGCAACACTGCACAGTTAAGCATGCAGATTGGAAACTAAGACTAAGTTCAAATTCAGTGTGTCTCTGTGCCTCAGTTTGCTCATCCATAAAAAGGGGATGTAATAGTACCACTTCACATAAACGGTGGTGAAAATTAAATCAGGTAATTTACGTCAAGTGTTTGAAACAGTTTTTGCCACATGTCACAGATTACGTGATAGCATATTATTGCTATTATTAATTTTGTGGAATTAAACTTTTTCGAAAGTTTAAATTTACACAAAGGATAAACCTTACTACTAACTTACTGACTTTTTTTTTTTTTTTTTGTCTTTTTGAGACAGGGTCTCGCTATGCAGTTCAGGCTGGCCTTGAGCTCACTTTGTAGCCCAGGCTGGCCTTGAACTTGCAACGATCCTCCTGCATCAGCCTCCCGAGTGCTGGGATTACAGGTGTGTGCCACCATGCTCAGCAACTTTTTTTTAATTTTGAAGACAGACATGTTGCCCAGCCTGGGCCCAAACTCCTGGACTCAAGGGAACCTCCTTCCTCAATCTGCAGAATATCTGGGACTGTAGGCATTTGCCATACTGTTTATGTTTTAGGCTTTTCATTCTGAAAAATCATGGAAAATCAGTCATTCTGAAAACAGAAACTTTTTACAGAAAAGGTCAGCAGTGGAATGAACTGTGTATTAAAAAAGAAAAACTTTAAATATGACAGAATTTAGCTACTTAGATCAAGTACATTTGGAGCATTTGAGAATCTTTTTTGTAATTTATAACACAAAAAGTATACTGTAAAAATGAGCATATCCAAACAACTTCAAAATGCAAAACTCAATTGTCATTCTGTCATCCCCATCCCTTCCTGATTTGTATTCTGAAAATCCCAGGACGAATCGGGTAGGTCCTCGTCCCCAACAAGCAGGAGCGAGGAAGGTGAGAAGGACAAATCTAGTAGCTGCCCAGGGGAGTTCTCAGGTACAGCTACACAGACCATGAGAATCAGCCTCCAGAGCCTTTGCAATCTGCTTTGATCTACCCTGCAGGGTGGGGGGACAAAAGGGAATTTTATAAGCACTGGGTAATTATTTCTTGCTTCACTACCTGTTACCTTGTCTTTGTTTTTTTTAAAAAAAGTACTTTCATTATCTAAGAATCTGTCTTCTTAGCTCTTTTGCGGGGAAAAATTCTTTGTGGTTATACTAACAAAACAAGCAAAGCTTCATTCGCTGTAAAAAAGCAAGCGCTGATTCTTCTGCTTTAAACTACATTAAGGAGTGGATTTAATGCAGCTAAATAGATATGCAATGGACAACTTGCTTCTTGGGGTCAGTGGGAGCTTGGGAAGTCCACCAGAGGCTGGCTGTGAGGATGCATCTATGGCTATGGAATACTGACCTATACCTCGAGAATGAAGGTTGTCATTAAAAATGAAGATTCACAATCATGCCTATCAAAAGGGAAATGGAAGAGAAAGCTAAACCACTACAAGGAGAGAAAAAATATCCTTGAGTTGAGGGAAAAAATTAAAATCACAGAGCTGACAAGAAGGGCCTCATCGTTTCCTTGGGGAAGGACACTCCTGAGAGCACCCACATTTGGTATGGGGTGAAAAGACTCTTCCTAACGTTCTTTCCTATTCCTCTTCCTTAAATCAACTAAAATTCCTGAGTAAATTGGCCAGCCTCAGAGTATACCGTAGTTTTCCATCCAAAGCAGGGATTTTTAGTGCAGTCACACATTAATTAACTAAAATAACACATATTCAAAACTTAAGCAGATCACTACAAATTGATGAGACATATAAAAATTAATGTGACAATTAATTTTTAATGAATAAGTATATTTCTAACTTTTAAAAGTATAAAAGAGCCTGAGAGAATTATTTAAGATCATGTGAAAATTACTAAACTTCTTTTAGCACATTTTCTTTCTGTAAATACACCCACTTCGTATCACCTTATTAAAATAAAATGAAACTATCATTCTCAGAAAGTCACGCATATAGATATCTAATAGGTAAGTGTGAGTTACACTGAGTCAAACCTGAGAGCTGTACAAGGAATCTGTCTCAATAACCTAGGAACGGTGTGAGAGAGAAGTGAAAAAAGCTGCTTTGCCAGGGTTGGCTCTGCTGGAAGAAAAGACTGTCAGCCCTCAGGAAAAACTTTACCTGACGAGGAAAACGCTAGGAGAAAATTTAGGTTAATTTATTGTAGTCTAACAGGGCTTAGGTGGCTTAAAAACCAATCTTGTTAGGCTTTCCTTGATGCAGACCCTAGATTCTAAAGCACACGCCACATTCTAGATCTAAAGATTCTATTAACTGTGGAGTCTAGATTCTAAAATTCACTGAACAGCGGGATATACCATGAGCTCCTGTACACCACATTTTTTCTTAACGCCCTGCTTGTACACATGGTGTGCTCACGCAAAAAAAGTAGAAGTCAGTGTTTCATATGACATCTTGCTGTATGTTTCATTACTTTTATCAACTATATAAATGCTACCTCATTTAAAACATTGTTTTTGATTTTCTTGTTTGATTTGGTGCTGGAAATTGACAGCACTTTGAAAGAGAGGTAAATGGCACATGTTAAAATAATTTGGTAAACAGTTTTGTCACTGTTTTATTCTAAAATTCTCCACTGTTAACTTTTTGTTGTTGTTGTTCATGTAATGAAACATACACATTTAACTGTCCAGTGACTGGACCCTTTTTTTGGTTCATGGAATGAAAAATACACATTTTACATTTTACTCTTCTCTGCTCTAGTATTACTTTCAAAGGTTGTGTTATGGTATTTTTCCAGGATACAGTGAAAAATTTGTTAATTTTTGTTGAAAGCAATGCTGACGTAGAATCAGCCATGTTTTTCATTCTTTTGTACTTTTTAAACTAAACTTATTGTGAGAGCTAAGAGATCACATATTTCTAAGACATTAGGAGTTACACTGCTAAACCAAAGCAGCAGGTCATAAGATACTGACTGGGGTCATAGGACATAGCACTAATCATGTTTGCTCTCAATGGAAAACTACTAGAAATATGAAACAACACACTTAGACGTTAGAATTTCCCGGCCAGGGCAGTAGCACGTTTCACGACAGGAGATACCCATGCCTTCCCTCTGCACAAGCCCTCCTGTTGCACACACAGTGTCAGACACATATCCCTATTTTGCATTGAAAATTCCTCTTATTTAACTATTCCTTTCATTCACAAGCAGTCTCCATTTCTATTCTTCTCTGTCCATTCTAAAAGGCACATTTAAAAATTGTAGAAGCTCAAGACTGCTTCAGTTAGCCATACAAAGGTTATATAAAACATTTTTAAATGTGAATCTTACCTCCGGTGGTTTGAGCGGCCCTTGTTCTGAAACAAATGTAAAAATTGGCATTGTCAGTGCAGTTACTTGGTCTGGTTAGCAACCTTAGCTTGTTCTTTGCAGCATGGCAAAACACTGCTGCTTTGTTTTCTTAACTGATACCCGTAATATATTTCCAGGGTCCCTCGGCTAGGCTAGTAATTGTTTTGCAACTTTGGTTCTCTTACCTTATTGGCTTGTCAGGAAAATGACTCATACTTCTAAATGACTTCTAAGTTATGCTTAACTTATTCAATCGTTTATTAAGCAATGTCAATTTAACCACATAAAACTCCTTAAAACAAGAGCCTGCACTAAATTTAAATGCATGATAGCTAGATGCAAGCCTTCTTTCAACACACGATGTTTTAAGAATTTCAACGCACTAAGTCACACAGGCATTGCATTGACTACAAATGTACACTGAAAACAGCACAGCATTTCCTATGATCCTTTTCTATTAAGCAGCTATAATTCCTATTTTTAATTCGGGGGAAAATACAGATTAATTTAAAAGATGAATTTAAAATAATGAGCCAACATTTGATTCCAAAACTAATTTTCCTTTCATCCTTATTTAACCTCTCAGTGAATAGGAGCAACACCCCTTCAGTAAGTTTTAGTTCCACATTTGATTAACAGTTATAAAGGGCCCTGGGTCTGCAGGTAAGCAATCTGGTTGAAAGGCAAAGGATCATTCAGCGAGTAGGAGCACAGGCTACAGAGGGCAGACGGTGGACAGTGTTTTTGCTTTCTTTCCCACATCTGGAAGCATCTAGATGTATGTGTTACAGCTTCTCTAGACCTAGCAAAGACCCTTCCCTGCACAGAGCGCACACCCATACTTTTCTCATCTCAAACGACCCTCTAAAGAAGAATCTTAGAAGACAGATATACCTGAGAGAGATACTGGGTCAGTAACGCAGGCGTAAATGGGACCTCAGTGTAAGATGTTTCTTTAAAAGGCTGGAAGAAGCCCTGTGGCTGGCCGGAGTTCACAAGGAAACACAGCAGGATACCTGACCAGCAGTCACACACCGCTTGACAGAGATTGCCTGGGGCAAGGAACTGGAGGTTGTGGGCGCCCTCCCCCCTTTACAGGACTACTCCAATTAATGGAAATGAAAGATCCAAGGATAAGAAAGTCACCTTTCTGCAGAAAAAGCTAAATCTTCATTCCTTTCTTAATTTCAAACCCCACTACCCTGGTTTTCCCGGAAAACTGTCTGCCTTCTATGAAGGCATCTTTGCTAGGCCTGCCGTTAGCCTTTACCATGCAGTATTCCCGGACAAGAAGTTATTTCACATCTTCTTTCCCTCCCCACTAAAACTATGCAATGTCTCAGAAGAAAGACTGCCTAAGAGGGCTGGCTGGGAAGAGCACATAAATGTAGCCTTTGGCTGACTCCAACTCAGAACAGGGCAGCTAGGATACCTGTTTTACTGGTTTTCCCTAAAAGACTTACATATTCCAGTACAGCCCTAATCTTATTTATTTTCCTACTGGTGTATTCGAGCCTGAACTGGGAATCATAAATTGCAGGAAGCACCAACAGGAGGCCAGTTTCAGCTTTCCATCCAAGAGCACTAGGAAAGTTTTGATCATTCAAGGTGACCTCTAAGCTGGTGACTTTTAAAAATGTGGAAGACCTCCAGAAAGCTCTAAAAATGGAGAATTCACAGATCTTTGGGGTTTAGCATCCATAAATGAATATGCACTTTAATTTCAATTTAAAAATATCTTGTTGTTTCCTGGTTCTTTGCATAGCAGTGTTTCTATGTCCTTGTGAAGGATGTCTTTTATGATATGCTTTAAATGTGTTATTTGGGGGCTGGGGATTTAGCTCAGCGGCAAAGCGCCTGCCTGGCAAGCGCAAGGTCGTGAGTTCGGTTCCCGGTACCAGAGAAAAAACCAAAACCAAAAAAAAAAAAAAAAAAAAGTGTTATTTGTGGCATAAAAGCTATGATCGCCCCGTGTGGTGGAAGTCTGTCACATCCAGCTTCCTCAGGGTCGTTGGTATGTGCCTCAGGGAGAGGAAATGACGGTATGCAAGGCAGGGATCTTGTTATATGCAGCACTTGCATGTCTTCACCAGAGAATGAGACACAGAACAGGAGACCCTCTTTTGCAGACTCTCCATAACTGACTGTGCAGGGGTTGGCGGGAAGTTACGTGAGGATCAGTCACAGCATGGGGGTCATGAGGCTCAGGCAAGGCATGCACGGGTGAGCAACAAGGTGGACTGGGCTGACTACCTCATTCAGCTCCCTCTCCTTCATTTTCCCCTCTTCTCACTGTTTCCTACTTTCTTTTGGGGGGGGGCAGGGCGGGGAGTTTTCTCTGGTACCGGGAATCGAACTCACGACCTTGCGCTTGCCAGGCAGGCGCTGTGCCGCTGAGCCAAATCCCCAGCCCCATTGTTTCCCACTTTCTTTCTTCACTTGGTGTCTGATCAAGAGACTCAGCTTTTCTCAGATTTCACACTGGACGCACTGAGAGCTACTCCTGGCAAAGTCCCCAAGTAGGGAAAATGCAAAGGGGCTTAGTGCTGGGTGTGACTTCACCGCAAAGGGCACAAGTCCTTAGGCAAGGCTTCTATTTTCCCTTTTCTTGCCATCACATCTCCACCCACATCTACCCTCTTCCCCGGGGCAGAGGCCGGCCGCTTCCACGGACTTGGCACAGGGCAGTCAGCACACCGACGTGCCCTTGCAGAGTACCCCACAGAAGGAGCGGCTCGGGACAGTCTCGGTGTTTTACACAGCCCTTTCTCACGGTATGATGTGTATCAGAGTCTGCTCTGGCTTCAGAAATTCTTAGCCAGATTCTTTTGTTTTTACATGTTTGAACTTGCAGCACTGGCCATACCATTAAACTGAATTATCTCCTTTACAAACATAATTTTAATTCTGATGACCAATTAATGCAGTGGTTTCTTCAACAGTAAAATAACAGCAACGAAGGAAACACTAAACTGTAACAAAATTTTATACATATTTCAAAGTAAAAGTCCATTCTGCTGTCAAAAGGGAACAAGAATCCCTTTTTATGAGGTATTCTATGGAAAAGTTGATCTAATTTGGAAATCTGCAACCCCATCCTGTATTTCCTCCTGGTATCCACTTAAAACTATGACGGCAGGCACTTGGACCTCTAGAAAACTCTACGAGTGCCACAGGTAAGCATTAGGTCTGGGAAGATAAAAGCTGGTTATCACCGTATCTTCTTTGGCTAAGTTTTGACCCAGAATAAAAGGTGGTGGTTCAGAATTGATGACAAAGTCTGAGTCAGTCTCTCTCTCTCTCTCTCTGTGTGTCTGTCCCTCTGTCTCTTTCTCTCTGTCTCTCCTGTGTGTTTCTCTTGAGAACTTTCTTGAAATAAGAATTCAATTCTTCAAATTTCTCAAAGTTTTTAATCCTCAACTTGTCTTTACCCTGCAGCCTGCTTCTCCGGCTCCTATTGATCAAACTGTAACATGCTCTTACCCTTTCAAGAACCTCTTTAGATGGTGATTCACAGGCCCTTGAGGGGTTTATACCTTGCACTCTTTCATCATGTCCCAACTGGTTTAATGTAATCCACAGAAGTGGTGCTACAGAGGTGCTCTGGAGCATTTGCAAAACTCTGTCTCCTATGCCAGCAGAGCTCAGTGTGTGCATATTTGTGGAAGAGGGATGATTTTCACCAAGGGGTTAGGCTCACAGTGCAGAATTCACTTGTTTAAACACAGAATTCAGTCTTACTATGTTTGTTTTTTCAACACCAGTGCCTCTTGGCTTATACATTACACAATTTGCTTTATATCTTATCCAAAGTTCTACTTCTTAAGATTGAACAAATCAATGTCCAGGAAGACTGTCGCAAGAGGGGCCAAAGAAAAGTAATTATCAGTATAGTCACTGAAGGTACCTTGCTATCATGGCTAATGTGCAATTTCTGTGAAACATGAAACTGAAGGATGGCTGGACTGATCAAATTTTGGAGGAAGTTGAACAGATGCTGTATTCACTACTCAAATCTATAGCAATTACCGTGAAGAAAAAACGAATCATACACCATAAAAATACTTGAAAAGAGGATCTGATTTCAAAACATTTTCGGAGCTGAAAAGGAACCTAACCATACAATAGTTTACAATTCACTGTACTAAATAATGGTGCATCATAAAAGTCTGTGTCATTAAACTGACTCAAATAGTTAAACGGAAGGAATAGTAACTACTACTTTGTAATATGAAATTGTCTTGATAAGTTAAAAACTAATAACTTATACAAAAGTTTTTAAGTACCATTAAATAGAACCAAAGTCTTTTTTTAATGAAATCAATGATCATGGCTCAGTTCATTTAAAAGTAATGTGATAAAATCCCTTGTGGCAGAAAGCTAAAATAAAATTATACACCAAAAGTTTATCTCTTATGCAAAAATATGCAATATTATTTATTTTTTAAAAAAAGCCTATTTTGGGTGCCAATGTGGGATCCCAGTTCTAGGTAGCAATCTTGCAAGATTAGAACAGCAGAATACCAAGGCAAACGTCCTCCAATGACAGAGGGCTATAGTAGCAGCAGCAGGAATAACAGCTGGACTGGACAGAAGAACAATTAAGCAGAAAAGCAAGTGGGGATCTGCCTCAGTTAAATATTAGAGACGCTGAGGCCTACATTGCCACAAAAGGGAAAGATGTATTAAAGCAAAGTTGTCGGCTCCAGCAGTATTTGTCTCTCAATGTTACTTCCTTTGATTAGACTGTAAAGATTCAAAGCAAGCTATATTGATCATTGTCAGGCTAGGAAGGGGACAAGAGGAAGGAGATTAGCCATATTTTATCTTGGGGGGAGGACTTACTGTCCCCAAAGGTTGGAGTCTAGGATTAGCCCGTGATAGTGGTGTACTGTGAGAGGGAAACGTCACCCTAGAACTCTATCAGCTTTGCAGTAACTTGTTGAGAGAGACCCGTACAATGGAGACCATAAGTGTGCCTTATTAATGTTGGAGTTTTGGCACC